GGTTCTGGTGAGGTTTTTTTCAATCCTTGTAATACTTAAGAGCAGCCAGCTGTAGCCGAGAAATYCAGACTCCACAACAAGGATGGCGATGATCCGCAGTATTCTTTAGTGAAAATTGGAAGGCAAGAACATACCCTTTTAAATTTTATATGCTTCTAAAACACTTAAATCACACAGTTAAGAGGTTTTTTCCCAATTCATTTTGTGTCACCACTGTGATACCAACAACTGAAAGACCAAAGACACTTTCTCCCAGTTTAGCACTCTGATACARYAGGCTATTCTACCCCGAGAGGTACYACAATCAAGCATTGTTTGGTAGAACAAAGATGAATGTTTCCTCTTCTCCAGAACCAGACAAACTAGAAATTACAATGTTACATAGCTGTTACAAACATATTTCAAAAGGCCGGGACGAACAGACTTCTTTTTCTCAGAGGAACTTCCTTCTTTACAAACCACATTTCAACAGAAAGCCTTCTGATGCTAAATAAGGACCTCATTCATCCATTTGTGGTCTGATTCTGTGGAGGCCAGCAATCTTCAARTCTCTTTTGTCTAGTGAGATGAGACCATTTAGGGGAACGTGTGACCTCCTGATTTTTAGATGGGCTATTCAGGAAGACAGCAGAGGACAACTCACACAAGATGGGATCCCAGGAAACCTGCTGTCCCACCTCCAGCATGTGCCTGGCTCAGCCATGGGGACAGGCCAGACTGCTCAGGGGTCTATCCAGGCTTGTCTTGAAAAGGCTCTGTAAAATTGGATACAYCTCCTGTAGGATATAAATGCATCGTGTAATAGCAGAATACTCACATAAACCCTGTTCACCCAGAGCTAGGGCAGAGGGAGAAAGAGAAGGGGAGCTAATCTCAACCTTTCCATTTACACCTGTTAATGGAATTCTTCTCCAGTCACTCAAATACAGAATTAATTCACTTTTTTTCAGAAATAAATTTTTAAGGACATCCTAAGGCATTTTCCAGCCCTGCAGCACTTGACAGAGTCATAGCTGCTATTTGAAGAATGTTTTAGAATTGGAGTAMGAAAATGCCAACCAACCTTCAGAAAAAAAAAAATTGCTACTACTGTTTACTTTTGACTGTCTTCTGAGAACAGGAGCCCATTAGGATAAAACAGCTTCACAGTCAACTCATTGAAGTGTCGAAGTCAAGTTTTTGGGGACTGCTTAAAAACAAAACTTTATAATAGCTGAAGAACAACAGACACTTTGAAATGCCTAGAATTTTTGAATGAGTGCACAACTTGCTCAGAAAGGCTTTGATAATTACCCCGGCATGCCAGCTACTGAGCAAATGAATTTTATACCAAGTTTCTAGCAGTTTTTTTTTTAAGAACAAAGCAAATGCCCCATAGCAATGCTTGGTAGAGGCAAAATTTAGCCTCCTAACTGAGGAAAGGAGAATGTGGTAGGTGGTATATTTCTAGCTAATTAGCTGAAAATGAAAAAAGCTCAAGGAAATAAAATGAAACTGCTTGCTGAATGGTTTTACCCTGGAGCAAAAGACACCTTCATAATGATAAAATGTTTTTAATCACCAAAGGATTGTTTAGTGGGCTCTATATTTATATATAATACACAGCACTGAAACTGTGCCAGTGTGGCCTGTACCAAAAGTCAGTGCACTAAATGATAACAGCATTTGGAATGAATTTGGTTAATCTAAAAATGTCTCTGAAGGTCTAATCTGTCCCCTTTGGAAAAAGATCAGGCCAAACAGGCCCACTTTTGTCACTGCTGCTACTTGTGYCAGAGTTTTTATATTAAATTTTTCTTTAAACATAAAAATCTCAACTTCTGACTCCTTGAAATGTGTGTATCTGTGCAGATGGCTGAGCTTGCTTTGCAGAAAACTTTGAAAAATGTCAAGTGGAAACCTAGGCTGGATGGAAAGTTCAGCAAGAGAGGGGTGAGTTTCTTATCAGCTCATGGCAATGATATATGGGGTTTCTGCCCCACAGTTTGAGCACACACAGGGGATTTAAGGGTGTTACACCGAGCACAATTCACATAGAAGCAGCTGTAAGTGTGAGTTACTGTGACCTACCTACATACCTACCTTCCACACCAAACTTTCTTCCATGGCTGCTCCTGAAACTCTACACAGGAAACACGTGTCAAGAGTCTAAATTGCTCTTATCGTGGGTAAAGGTGGTTTTATTTCAGCAAATTGACCTCCAATTTTTGGCAGGTTGCAGTTTCAATTCCTGACCTGTCATCTTTCAACTCTAAGTGCACTGACTGCTCCTGTTCCTGAGAGAAGGCATCACCAATCYGGCTGCTGCCTCACTGCTTTCAGAGGATGATGCTGCTACTTTAACTGCTGAGCTACTTTTCTACCAGAATTCATAGGAAACGTGCAGAAACCTGCCAAGCATTGAGTTTCTGATGTAGGCTCTGGCTCTGCACCAGCCCTGCTGACACAGACAGACTGCCGCCACCCCTTTGTAATTTGTTTCTTTTTTGCTACATGTCAGGCTTCAGAAGGTGCTGATTACRTTTGCGTAGCTGATGAGCTTCCTARTCCAGTGTCTAATTTCACCTGCATGTTGAATTTTTAATCTTTAATCTGGTAAAGATTCTTATATACGTAGCTGGACTATGCCCTCTGCACCAGAAGAATCTGTGTGGAACTAAAGCTAAGTGCACAAGTCTGGAGTTCTTTGTGGTTTGGGTTTTTTTTTTTTCTGTTTGGTTGTTTGTTTTTTTTTTTCACTAAGTTGTAAAACAAGACTTGGCTTTATCCCAAAGCAATTAGTTTATTCYGTTAACAGAAGAAAAATTAAAATAAAGACATCTGATCTATTCAGTGTTATATATAACTTTAATTAATTGATGGATACAGCCTGAGAAGATCAATCTGAAGAAATATGTTTGCAGCATGTACTTACTGAGTGAAATTAAATTTACAACACCCAGAAGGTTAATCTGTATATCCTTCCTAGAAGCTTCAGTGACCTTCATTACAATCTTCAGAGTGTATTACCTCAGGAAAATAAAACTCACTAGGCATGTTGTTTTTCTCTAAAATCTCACTGGCCATCGGGGACTAATAGATCTGTAATTTAAATATGAGGCTGAATTTTTTTGTTAAGGCATATGGTTAACATAGGAGGATCACATCCCTGCCAGGTTGTCTAAAAGGGGAAATATGCTCAACTCTCCTGAAATTGCAAAAAACTGCCATATTCTACTTCCCACTCTCCTTCTTCCCTTTTATTTCTACTAGGCAGCCAGACAAGCTGAAGGTGTGAGAGATAGTCTTTACTCACTAGAACTTTCAAATGGATCCATGGTKGACTTAAATAGAAAAATATTTTCTCCCTGGGCTCTCTCTGAGCTAGTAGTTTCTATAATGGACTGTGACCAGGGAGACTCTTAAGTGAGACAAACTAGAGAAAATTTACAGCACCACAGTGAGGCTATATGTATTTACACATCCCAAACCAAGCAGGAATGGGACAGTTTAGCACCTGGATTGAAAATCCACTCCTGCCCACAGGTCTTGGCTGCCTATGGCTGTTACAGATCCTGGAGCAATTTTCAATGAATATCTAAGCTTTGGACAGGCTAACTACACTCTGCTTAGTTAATCCCCCTTGGAAATCTGAACAGCTCCCAGSTCTCTACCCTCTGCTCTGAGATGCTTTCAGCTGGTGGGTGATGTTCAGCTTCCTGAGCCGATCACGGTTGTGCTGTGCTGGTAGGGGAAGTGATCCCTGTGTGCTGTCTCAACAGTGTGGGAAATTATTTGACACCTGTTGGAGTAAAAGATGTTGCAAAACCATGAAGGGTTGGTTCCATTACTGCTACTCCAGGAGAGGCTTTAATGCCTTACTGGGCATTGGCGCAGTAAATCAGGGAACATTTTAGAAGTTATCTATCTCCAGCGGTAATTCTAGGACCACAGCACTGCAGCGAAATGCTTAAAGGAGAGACAGACAGATAGAAGTCGTCTGAGCACAGCTGTGGAAAGTAAGAACTCCTGTACTTATCCCACTTTAGCAAGGGCCRGAGCTATTTCTTCAAGGACTTCCTTGAAGAAATGTAAGCAACGTGATATTCCCGTTAAAGAGAGATAATGCCATTTATCTACATGGTCGGTCTATTGTCACAATAAGCAGATAAGGTTTGCAAGGCGCATATGAAGCGCCCATAAGCACTAATTAAATATTTTTCTCTGTCATCCTGTTTCCCATAGACAACAATAAAATCTCTACGCTACTTGTTTTAGTAGCTAATTAAAGCCATGAGTTGCCTCTACCTGGCAGCTTGGACATATTTATTCGCTAGCGCAGGGAGAGCTACGCCTGGATATGTAACAGCAAACAAAACCTGTTAGCAAAGCTCTTCATCTCCGGGCGGCGGGGAGGGAGCGCGATGTCACGGGCGGTGCTGGCGCACACGGRGGTGGCCGGGGGGACTCACCTGCCCCGCGGGGACCCGCCCGCTGTCGCCGGGGGTGTCCCTCCCGTGCCTCCGGGGCCCCTCCCCAGCSCGCCCGGCCCCAAGTTTGGCGGGGAAAGTTTGTGTGTAGGCGCCGCTGCGGAAGCGCCTCCGGGAGCGGCGGGCAGGTGAGGAGCTGCCGCCGGCACCCACCTGGGACGGGCGGGAGRGAGGGAAGGTTGGAGGGTGGGCGAGCCGGCGGCGGCATCTCCGGGGCGGCCCCGCCAGCCCCGCTCCCCGCCGGCACCGCCCAGCCCCGGGGCGCCGGGAGGAGGCGGCTCGGCCGCCCCGGTGCGCTCAGCGCGGACCGGCCCCGGGGGACGAGCCTCAGCYGGGCCCCTGMGYGTCCCTGGCGAGGGGCTCCGGCACSGGGAGCGGCCCCGAGGGGCTGCGGTGCGKCCCCACAAGTTGAGGGCACCGCAGAGCTCCCGCTGCGGCACCGCGCCGGGTGCGCTCCGCACGCTGAACAACTTTTCTGCTGACTCCCCGCACCCCCTTCCTTCGTCACACACCGGGAATCGGGAATTCGTGGCACGTCTCCAAAATAAAAAAAAAAAAAAAAATAGGGCTGGTATTTTGCCTGTGCGTTTTCTAGCAGTAGAGTGAATGACTGGGGCAGGCTGCGAGTGTTGCTGGCATGCTGATAGCACCTCGGTTCACCGCAGTCTGTAAACAAGACCGTGTCATTTCAACAGCTCAAAGGAGGRAAGACCTGGCTTTGACACAGTCCGTTTGCTAATGTTCCTTACCCTGAGAGGGGGAAGAAATCCCACCTACAATCCTGTTAGAAGACTGAGACCCCTAAAGTTTCTGTCTTGTGAACAGTGTTTTGTTTAACTTCCCAAAATTCAGGTGACTTCCGTGGGACTGCTCACTGACTCCCAGGAGTGCATCAGACAGGTAAGAGCTAAACATGCCAAACTTACCTTTTTCTGCTGAGGTCCCTCAGTCCTGACTGGGAAATGTTACTAAGAACAATAATGATTTTTTCTTTTTGAAGCAAGATGTCCAGCAGCTGTAGGATGAAACCCTTGGAATTAAATATCCTGGTGAATTGGTGATGAAGTTCCAGAYCTGACACTTTCAGTGTCTTCTCTGTTCTTGGTAAGTAAACAAAACTTTCCCTGATGCTGATGTGTCAATCTGCATACACATGGATGGGAAAACTTGGCATTTATCTGTTCTTAACACAAGCATAACTTTTGTTTGTTTAGAACTGCAGCTTTAAATTAGCCTACAAGTGTCTGAGGCAAGTGGCTATGTGCATTAAACCAACGTGGTCTGAAGTTAAGTGGCATTTATGGTTGAAGAGCAGGACCAGGTAAGTGGTATGCGTGCCCTCAGAACCGATGAGTCTTGCTTGCATCCATTGTTTCATTAAATGGATTTTTTTGTTTTTTTATTTGGAAATACATCAAAAGGATAATGAGGAACTAGTGATGTTAATAGATCAAAATGGTGAAATCAAATGCAACGTTTGCCACGTTATTAATTTTGTATAATAYGTTGTATGCTATAAAGTGCATTTATAACAAAACGTAATTGCTTAACAACATTGTGGTCTGCTATGTAACAAGGGAGAGTGAAGTTGAAAAATGYTAAATATGCACAAGTTGACTGAGTGGGAAGTTACTTTGGTGATGTWGATGTTTGGAATTTCCTGACTGCTGTTAAAATTTAAAATTTTTAAGCTCCATTTTTTTAAGGGGCTTTATTGCTTCATAATTGGCAATGGGTGAGTGAAGGATGCTCACTTTCATAAAAACAGCTCTCTTCTTTGAAGAGAAATCCCTATATATTTCATAAAAAAATATTTCATTATTTGTGTCTTATGGAACTCTAACAGGATTCTCTTAACTTGATTTGCAATGTTGGTAGRTAGTAATCTTCTGTTATTGCCAGTAATAAAAGTTGTGCAGGCCAGATGGTGTCTTCAATTACACTTTAACACAGCCTTCTTATAAGMACTCTTCAGGTGAAGAAGTTGCTGAGATGTCAGCAGGACTGATGTAACACTGGGCCTGTTCGCTGTCTGTATCCCCTAGTAAATTCCTATGGCCAGGAAAGGCTACATTATGGGAATTTTGGTTCAGTTTGGGGTGATTTTTGGGTTTTGTTGCTCAGGGTTTTTTTTCCTGGGGGGGTTTGGTGAGGGGTTGGTTGGTTGGTTTGGTTTCTTTTAAATTTACAAACCTTCTCAGAACCCCTGTTTAGCTACCTTGATCTCCTTGCTCACTTCAAATTTCTGTAAGGCCTTTGACTTCATCCAGCTGTAACACTCAGTGTAACTTTCTGGAGACAGAAAATGGCAAATACTGTATGTTTATTTCTAGCARCCTTTGTAATAAACCTGCACGAAAAGTAGCACTGCCTGATATGAGGAACTGGGCAAGCATTGTTAAGAGCTGGAGCTGTGCCTTSAGCTGGTTGTTGTGAAGCCAGAAAGCTGAGATGTGGACAGTGGAAAGGTGATCCTGGAGGATCATCTGTGTGTGAAGTAGGACGTGAGCTAACAGATGAGAAGTGAGGGAGGAGGGGGAGCGTTGAAGTGAGAAGATATCCTTCCCTTCTTCCACCGACTGAGCTGAAAGTAGTCTGGGCCAGTGTCCAGCAGAACATTCCTCGCTGCAAAAATATTCTTGCCACAATAACTCCAGTGGAGGTATCAGAAAATGTAGTGCTTCTTGAAGTAAGGAAGGAAGGAGGGAAGAAAATGAAAAAAAAAAACCCTTGAAAATCAGGAAAATTGTGCAGTTGCAGTAGCTTTCTGTGTTCTTTTTCTCATTTTGTTTTCATTAATTCAGTTGTGTCTAAGGAGCTACTGAGTGGGTGGGAATGTATGGTATCCCACAATAATATGAATGCTTTGACCATTATAAAGATTGTCTGGGTTTTTCATCTGTATTCTGCTTGTCAACCCTGTTTTTTTCATATTTTTTTCAAGGTGAAGGGAAAAAAGCTGGAATTAAAAAGAAAAGTTTGTAAATAGTTTGAGGCAATCTAATGTTTTGTGTTTCTATGTCCTTGATTTTGGAACTAGATGATGGTGAGGGTTACAGAGGCGAGGAAATCTGAAGTTAGTCAAACATACTGATCAGATGGCATTGGTTTTGTGTGGTCTGGAATAGGAAGAAGCCAGGGATGGTACCTGAGTGCTGAGGTACCTCTCCTCAGCCACAGATATATTTGCTTGCAAGAAAGAAAAGGTTGGATGATGTGCTGAAAGGAAGAATCATGTCAAAAGCAGGAGGTGCACTCTTCCCCATTTTTGGGTGGCTGTGTTATTTCAGTTGCTTGTGTTGGCCAAGTTCAAGAATGTACCTATTTGAACCCAAAACACAATGGGGGAAATGCAAGGATTTTTTACCAGTGGAATGAGGATTCTTGAAACTGGTAATATTTGGAAATGTTAAACAAGTTGGACTCAGAAGTGAATGACTGTAGACCTGTCAAATTTTTGCATTTGCTGTGTTASATTTTGCTGCATCTAAGGCATGTAGTGCTGTTGTCTGCCACATTTACTGTTTCTCCATGATGGATAAGGACATGAAGTAGTCTCTCTTCAGTACGCAAAAGAACTTGAAATTTTGGGGTGCCTGGATCCTATGACACTTCCTGTGAAAGCTTGAGTTGAAGCAGGTGGGTCACTGGTGTCCATAYATCCAAAAGATGGGGTTGATGTTGGGCAAAAGCAAGACTCTAGTTCAACACAGGAAGGCACAGAGCAGTTTCTCAGGCTATATTAGTTCCCTCATAGCAAGAGCCATCCAGCAGGATGGTCAAGGTATCATTCAGTGGAACCATGTTGCCCAGGACTGGGAGCAAAACAAAGATTCACAGCTTACGTAGGGATGCTGAATATTTGACTGGATATGGCAGACCTCTTTTTAAAGTGCTTGTGTTGAAAATAACTGCTTCTTGGTTCTTCACAGCCACAAGAAAACMTTTATCTTGATTAAAGAATATTTGCAGGTATCTCCTCTTGCCCAGGATGCCTGAGAGTGTAATCCATGACCGTTGCTTTTTATTACAAAAGTAGCAAATTTGTCAGTGTTCTGCAGCCATTTTTCAASTTCTACTAGAAGACTCACAGACACAGACTATTTTAAATGTCACTATAATTTTTTCATATGTGGGTTACAAATCACTGTGTTAAATAAATTAAACTACTCATTCAAGCTGAAAAGCCTTTAAAATCTTATAAGGTAGCAGAATAGTTGAGTTTGATGTATTTAGACTCTAATCTGAGCTAAAATCAGTAGTCTTGATTAAAAGTAATGTTACTTTTGTTTAAAAATAATCTCAAAACTTAGCCAACACATAAATAAAGAATACAGTTTCATAGAAATTAAATTTAAATACATTAAACTAATTGCAAGCAGCATGCTTGATACAAAGATAATTGTAGTGATGGTGRAGTGAATTTGCCTTAGGGTGTACTTGGTAGTTCAAAACAAAAAGAAAAAAAGAAAAGCACCTTGAACTGCTGTTTCCTTTTAAGGACTTCACTCAAAACAAAACTAACCTAGTAAGAAAACATCTGTTTKCTTATTAACAGATGAACTCGCTTGAAAGTGCTCCTGATTTTAATGTGTATCTGCATTATCACCTTTCAGGGCTTGTAGATGGTGCTGCATGCAACCATGATGGTGTTTGGGCAAGGTCAGCTGTGTGCTCCATGGCATCATGGGTCATGGATGTATGTGATACCTGCTACTGCTAAGGGAAAAACCATTGGCACTGTTCCTTGGCTGAATTCCTCGTGGGCTGTWATTTAGGTAAAGTTGGTCAGGAAGCCCTCCAGGTGATGGCATGAGTTGTGCAGTCAGGGAGGATGAGAGAGAATGGCTGGAGAGAGCAGCAGTGCCAGCCTACAAGTGTCAGAAATGCTCATGGAGGTTGTGTGGTGTGAGATGCTTTGCTTTCAGCATCATCCATGGGGTCTGAGAAAGCTTTTCATGGACACTCAAGGACACTGTTTTTCAGAAAGAAGGGCTGAATATATGGGAGTTTTGTCTAGTCAGAGATGGAAGAAAGCAACAACATCATAAGAGCGGGCTTATTTGGAAGCATGCCACTGTAATTATATGTGTCTGGGTTGCTCACTTTTTTATTATGAAACTTGTGAATCCCAAACAGCATTTTCCCTAACAACAGCAAGAAACTGATTTCTGCTTTCTTGTGCCTCTAATTTAAGTAATTTATTTCAAAGATACTTATTCAGACCCTCATATCTTATTTATTTGCTGCCTTTTTTTCCCCCCCTAATCCAGATGCTGTCAATGTCCTGTTACATGAACAACACAGCTTTTGTTTGCGGGAAAACAGAAGAGGTTTGTATTCAGTTTTATGACTAGTGGCTCTTGAAGCATTGCTTGTGCTGGGAAGCTTCTGYCTCATCAGCAGAGTGATTTCTGAAGACATGCAAACAGTGCCTTTTCTGCAGCACTGGAGTCAGGTGCAGAGACCTAAGCAAGCCYTGTAGCACAGACAGGGAGGACTGCAAATCACAGTGCTGAGGGCACTGCAGGAAAAGAAGCTGCAAGTGATAACAGCTACTGAAGAGCTGGCTGAAAGGAGGCTCCACTACCCACACCTTTACAAAAAGCATTTCGCAGCATTCCCCATGCATTTTCTCTGTGTTTTCCCAATCCTCACTGCTTCTTTCCAATCCTGGGCATCATCAGCATAGCTGCAAACAGGTACTTCTATATAACATGCAGGAAATTCCCTCTCTTTAGAATCAAAGCAGAAAGAGTTAGGTGGAACAAAGCCTCTATCACCTTCCTTTTATGTGCCTGGTTTGAACCAGTTGCTTCATGACCCTTACAAAAAATACTTCAGACAGAACATTTACTTTCTGTTAATGTCTACCTATCTGTCTTCTACAGAACAATTACATTTAAAATGATTAATATTTAAACCATGGCTTACAATTTCTGCAGGCAAGTTTGTGCTTAAGTGCATATTTTAACAGCACAGAATTGGAAAAACATCTGAAAAGTTCTGAACAGTTTTATTGTTCTTGAAACCTTTTTTGTCTTTCTAACATAGTTACTTTGTTCATTCAACAGCTGTTTTTAATGGGAGCTCCTGCTAAGCTTTATGTGTACTGTATTTTTAGAAACTCAGCAATTATAGATGTAACAGTGCTGAGTTATTAAAAAATACAAACTTGTGGAATATGCAGTACTTGTATGATTCAGAATAACTGTTAAGTGCCTGCATTTTCTTTTTCTGTGTATTTAGAGATTAATATTTCAAATATCTTCCAGCACTCTGTATTCCTTTAAAAGACTGAGTTTTTCCTTGCATTTTTTTGTGGTAGTTTATCAGTCACATCTGTCATATGCACTGACAATGGTGGTCATTTTGCTGAATTTTCTTTTCTTATGCAGGCCACTTTCAACAACTGCTCTTCAGCAGGTGTTGAAAATAACTATTAGGAATATTTTTTCTAATATTTTCTTATTAGATAATAATGCACTTTCAAAGTGAGCACATTCTCATTCAGGTTAAGGAGTTGTCTTCTAGTATCCACAGTGTCTTCGTGTTCTGATGTTATAAAATGAATTTTATGGCCCCKTTGCGGCAGGCGCAGGGTATCAGGTAAATTACTTACTTCCTCTGGGCCCACTGCTGTGCAAGAAAGTAATTTTCTTTATAAGTTTTTACATTTGAGCTCATTTCCATTAAACTTAGCAAGAAYTGAGTTCCTGACAAGTCCCTCTCCATGCTGTGAAACAGCTGAGTAAAAAGATGATCCATTAATTCATTTTCTGCYGTGTTACTGATACCATCTTATGCTGGCATTTCCTAATCCTGCAAAACTCAACTGGGATTCATATTTGAGGGAGAACATCATTGTATGACTCCTCGATGCACGGGGTGAAGTGATGCCAAGGCTCTGCAAGGGGAATTGTTKCATTGTGTGGGTGACTGCAGGAACCTTCCTTAGGGGCACATGATTACCCAGTCCAGAAGCAAAGGTGCTGGAGTGCCCATCACAGGGAGCTGGCAGCCTCTTGGAGTGGGACTCAGCCACCTGGGAAGCTCCAGCTGCTTGCCATAGATTCCCAGCTGTGCTGGTTGGTGGGCAGAGTGGGGTACTGGTGTGACACCCAACAATGTCATTGGGGTCATCACCTCCCTCTGTTATGGCAGTGCGTGATGCTTGCTCTTCTGGAGGTGGAATGGTCTTTCTAGCCACTTCTAGAAACACATCTACTTGGAACTCCTCGGGGGGGTAGGAGGAACATCCAGGCTGTGAGCAGAAATGTAAGCATTGAAAGTAACAGCTTGTGAGAGTTGCTGCTTGTATATACACAGTATATATTACACRGTCTCTGGTGAAGAATAAAAATGTAACACGAGCACAACATCCCTCTCTTGTCATTCCAGGTTGCTGTCTCTGGGGAAGATAYGGAAGAAAATGCAGGCATGCTGAAAACTTCAGGAAAGTGAGCAATGAGTGYTTCTGAAAGCTGAAAAGAAGCCCCCTTATAGGGTCATGAACCTAAGACAAGTCTTCGTGTCTGTACTGCTGTTTGGAGTAGCTGGTCTACTCCTCTTCATGTATCTGCAAGCTTGGGTTGAAGAACGACATACAGGTACAGGAAGTTTTCTCTCTCTATTTTTTTTTTTTAAATACATCTATTATTTTAAGACAACCATAAAATCTGTTGAGAACAGTTGGGAATAGATTCCCCCGAACTTTGGCAGTAGAAGGGCATTGAAAATAGTCTTTTTTTAATTGCTACACTTCATTAAGAAATTTCTTCAGTCACATGAAAAGGTGCCCCCAGCTACTTAATCGTATTGTATCAGCTTCATTTGCAAAGCAAGTGTTCCAAAAGCATTCTGAACGTCCAATTTAAAAACAATTCTGTACAATGATTTGTTGTGGGTTTTGTGCACTGTAGTTTCTGCAGCAAAACAATTTTTGGATAATTACGGCTGTGTTTCACAGACAGTAAAGTAGTCTTCTAAGTGACACTGTTCATGGAGTCATCCTTTTCCTTTCTTTTTTGTTGTTGTTTGTTTGATACTGAGCTTACAAGACTTTTTATATATACCATCAGAGTTATATTGCAACTTCAGATAAATCTGTGTTAGAATTGGCTCAGGATTACACTTCTGAATTATATTTCTGTTGTTCCTCATTTACAATATTTTGGTTTGCACCCTGACTTAGTCTAGACTCTTTTATGGAGAAAACTAAACCAGGATATTTACCTCCACCCCTACTGGAAGCTCAGCTCATGGKACCAGTCCAGAGTTAGTCTGAAGTAACCTTCCATGAAATGTGTAAGGGGTGGATGTCAGTAAAGTCCTTAACACTCACGGTTTTTCTCTGCAAGTCCATTTTTGTTATGTCATCTGAATGATTGCATATCCTTGATTTTAGTTCTATGTCTCTGTTGGGAGATTAGATCAAAGTTTGATCTTGTTTGGTTTTTTGGGGGATTCTTTGATTGGTTGGTTTATTTGCTTGGGGTTTTTTTGTCGGTGGGGTTTTTTTGTTTATTTGTTTCCAGTTTGTTAAGTCTTGACTTTTAGATCCTCTTATCTCTATCACTCAGCTTCCATTTCCTCTGTAAAACTCTCACTTTATAGYATGTTGATTCCATTGTGAAGAAATACATCTGTAAAACCACATTAGTCTCTGGCTTTATTGATCCGTGCTGTTATTCCACGTGAGCTGCTAGGCTCCAGAATGTTTTAGAGAGCAGTGTTGAGGGGGAAATACAGTGCATCATTCCTGCAATTGTTTGATAATGACCTTGAGGGTTTTTCCATCTAAGTGCAATGATCACAACGTTAATTTTGGCTTGTTAATTTTTCTGGGCTGTCCCAAGGTATTCACAAGCTTGTATTAACAAAACTGTTATGAGAGGTAATGCAGACTCCCTTTGGAGAGGTTCCCTTGTAATCAGCTGATGATGGAAGGGTGCTGGCAGAAACTGAGCATGCAGCAGGGCGGGGGGTCTTCCTTGAAAATCCCTTCTGTTGTCAGGAATGTTAAGGGCAGATATTCCTGCTTTCAAGGTAGTTCAGGAATGTAGATGATGACTGTAGATTATTGATTTATTTACTTGCTGACATTCTTCACATTCCTCACATCTTTTCTTGTGCTGTAATTAACCTTTCTTTGCTTGCAGTGCTCCTTGTTGCTGATTCTCACTGCAGTTTTTTTGACTCCTTTCTTTTGTAGTTGTCTCTCTACCATTAAAAAGAAGCAGGAAAAATATAATAAAGGTTGAATTAGGACATACTTTTTTCTTTTGGCCAACCAGATGCYATCTTTGGGGTTTTCTTTGATATATTGCTATAATCTTTTCCAGGAGAGAGGCTTCTCCTTGCTCACATAAGTAATTTCTGTGTGGAAACATTTCTCTAATAAAATGGAAGCTAACAGAGAATTACAGAATGGTTAGTGAGCTTAAAATGTGACTGCAGTTTTGAGTGCCCTTTTATGTCACTGGACTGCTGGTGTGACTGCACTTCARCAAGATCCAAAAAAAGAAATTTGGCGTTCTCTACACTAGCAGTAGAGAATGTACGGTCATGCACATTGGCAAGAGTATGGCAAAAACTCATTCTTTGGTGTCTGCTCTTGCTTCTTCTTCCAATTTAACATTTAGAGAGCCATTCTTTTTTATTTCAAACACCTGTATCTCCCCTAAACCTTCTGCAGCTCAATTCTCTAATGCTCCCCTTCTGTATGCTGCTTAAGAGTTGATATGAAATAAAACATATTTGCATATTCACAACATACATTAGTTTAGTTATGGGCATTTTGCAATTTTTTTTTCCTCTTCTGCTGTGTTTTTCATATTGCCATGCGTTGTGTTCTGTGGCTTTTCTGGGGGGATGAGCTGTATCTGGAGAATCCCAAACTGACAAGTATCTTTGCAAGGATTTTATGTGTTCCTTTAATCGTCTCACTAGTTGCACAGCTGTAAGATAGCTAGTTTTAATCTGCAAGTGGCTGAGCATGTGATGTGATGTTTTATTAGGAAATGGAAAGTGTGCCTTGTGCTTCTCAATTGCCATGCTACGAGCCTGGAGAGACAAGTGTTTGTTGTAGGCAGAACTATTTTTATCTTCCACGGTGCCCTGCTCAAGACCTACAGAATTCATGTTTGCATTTGGTTGCTGAAGGGATGGAAAGTTGGATGTGTTTGAGTTTAGGAAAGTGTCTGTTCTGCACCTGTGAAATGCTTCTTCTTACCACCCCATTCCTCTGAATAGCTGGAGCCTTTATAAATCACAACCTCTGAAAAAGATAGTGAATTTTACTCAGTTGTTTATAATGTTCATGCTTATTTCTCAGGTTCCCCTGACTATGGTATGAATTATTCCCAATCAGACATTGATTTTTCTGGGGAACTGAAAAAATATACGTTAGTTTTCTATTTCCTTATTTATGTTTGTTCTACTGTATTATTTTTTTATGTTTGTCCACTGGACTATTTTCTTTCACACCATTCTTAATGCCACTTTTTCTAGCTATTCATAGATTTTCACTCTAAATCTATTGCCAATTTTCATTCATAGTTTGCTTTCCTCTTTTTTTGGTCTCCTTCTTTTACTTGCTGTTCACATATCTGAGATCTCAACTGTGACTTGATTCCCATTTGTCTTATTTTGCCCTAGACTGATATTACCTAAGCATGTTTTTTTCTGATTTACTGTCACCAACTTTCCTCATTATTCAAATGTATCCAGCCCAGGAACACCTCTAATTTTTCATCCTGTCCATCTACTCCAGATGCACCTGCAGGCTCAGCAGCTGGATGCACTTCTCAGCACAGCCRTGTCTTCTGCTCCCTCCCACTGTGCTTGGACCCTTCAGATTATTTCCAGTCGTGTTTATGGTCTCCATGTCTTAAAAAWGGGAAAATCTTTCATTTAGAGATGTCTGAGAAACAGCTGCTAGCTGCATGRCAGTCCTCTCTGATGGCTTTTCAGAAACATTAGCAGACTGAGGGAACAGGGGAGTTTCTTGGTTTGGCTCTGTGCGTGGAGTGTATAAAGACRGGATGATACATCTTTACATCTGTTGGGTATCTTCAGTTCATCTCGGTGGAGTAATTGGGACAGACTTGTCAATAGTCCAGCATGAGCATCAATAAACACAGACTTCTTCTGGATGAAAATGTGATTCATAGCATTGATAATGCAATATATATGGAGCACTTGAAGTTCTCCATACATAAATATATTTGCTTGTATAAATTCATATACATGAATGAAGTTTGATGTGAATTCAACTAGTTCCTACAGCTTTACTTGACAGTTGTCCATATGGTCTTGCATTATGCAGTGCAAGCATCAAATATTGTGACACAAAAGCAATTACAATTTATTACATGCTTAGAAATTTCCAGCTCTGTTAATCTTATTCAGGAGAAACAAACTGCTGGCTCTTCCAGGGCTGATGTTGAGTTCTATACCATAAATCACCTGAATTAGGGGATTGTRGGGTACAAAGGCCACTTGCAATTTAATCCTGCAACATTAGAGATATGAATTGGAGTTTAAGATAGGGATTCTAATTTTGTGCTTTARAACTCTTCCTCTTTAGGGGGGACTGATGTGATTTACTACAAAATAATCTGAGAATACCTTTGAGATTAGAACTTCATGCTAGGTTTGTTATACGGGGTTTTGCCATGTGTTGATTTTTCCCTTTTCTCAAAGTTTGAGTAATTTTTTTTTTTTGTTTTGTTTTGGGTTTTTTTTGGTTTTTTGGGGTTTTTTTTGTTTTTTTGTGATGTGTGCCTAGTAAATCCATGATTACAAAGGACTATTTTAGAATAGTGTTGTATTACCTCTAATTAAGGGCTTCACTGCCCTCCCATAGATCARTGGTTTCCAAGAGTGAAAAAGTCTGTATCTTCACTTTCCCAGCAGTTTTGTATGTGCGTTCTCCTCACTTTGCAGGGTATCAGTTTTATAGTATCAGKGGTTGCCCAGGCATCCTTCTGCAGTCCATGTCCTTTTCTGTAATTTTGTGCATCTTCCTTCTGAGGAGCTTCATGACACAGATCTTATACTCATTCCTCAGGTCATAGGTCTTCCTTTTGTAAAGAAACAAAATTAAAATTCAGATAAAAATTGCATTTTTTWAAAAAGTTTGAAATTCCTTGAGCTTTTATGGAATTCTTAGGACAAGCTTTCACAATTTAGTTCTGCTATTGCTGTAGCCATCCAGGCTGTATCCATATTGCRTATTTTTTGGCATAAACAGGTGGACTTTTTCCCCCACCTTGCCAGATTTGATAATCCAAGGGGGTATTTTGGGCCCTTTAGTAATCTGGTGAGATATTCTGAGTCCATGGGGTAATTTTCTTCCTTATCTTGACACTAACTAGCAATTGAATGAGTGTGTATGCACAATAATATTTACTCTTTGTTGTTTTGGTGGCTTGATTTTTATTTAAACTTTAAGTGAAGAAACATTGATGTGGTTTAAAGAACAATTCATATGTAATGAATTGCAAAGGCAATTTTTTCATGGAATTCATAGTTTTTATAGACAATCTTCAGAAAATACCTTAAAGAAAACAGGTTTGTAAATAATGGAGAAAAGAACGCTGCTCAA